AATAATTTAGTCCAAGTTTGAAGAGTCTAGGTCTTGTAGATTTGGAATTAGGCCAGTTCTAGTGTGATCCAGATGCAAATAAGTGGTAAAAATCAACCTTTATTGAAGTTTCACAAATCAGAAAAAGGTTTCACAAATCCCAAACATGGTTTTAAATATTCTGCTATTAGAGCAGAATAATCTAGTCCAGGTCTGAAGTGTCTAGGTATAGTAGATTTTAAACTGCAGTCGATTAATGATGCGGAAGGTTGTGAAAAATTAAGTGGAATCGCCCTTTAGCTATCGGAAGCTGGAATTGGAAACCAACTTCAGCTTCGTACAATAGCGTCGGTCTGTTGCGTTCTGGGGTCCTGTGTAGCTCCCGCCATGACAATTTAGCTGACCTTAATATTTCCTTTGTTTTAAATTGGTCATTATAATTACACTTAGTGTTGATATGTGTGTGATAGGCATGTCTATCGGACATTTATAGAAATACGGAACAAATTGTGTTCAATACGCAACATTTAACAACCAAATACGGGACGATTCTGTATTTTATGGGACGGGTGGCAACCCTATACACAGCACTCACCACAAACCAGGCAAACTGTCTTAAAGGCTCTGATTTTAATAAAGAATTTGAAAAAGGTCAGTAAAGCTCTGACAGCTGCAACAGCAAAGTAACATGACAGAATGTCTCTGGTTATTTATCCATATGGTTATCAATATGGACCTTCTATGTATCGGGAATAAAGAAGATAGATTGAGGATGTTGACGTTGAACGATAAGAAATTCACCAAAAGCCCTAATATTATTTCCTTTGTTATTGGTGAAGTAATTAGCAGCCATGGCTAATAATAAAACATGTAACATTAATCTAAGTTTTTAGAAGCAGACAGTATATTTGCTGTACTTTAGTGTTAATCAGAGGTTCCCAAACTGTGGGGCGCGCCCCCTAGGGGGGGCGCCGTGTCATTGCAGGGGGGGCGCGGGAAGCCGTCTGGATGAAAAAAAAAAAAAAACATGACCACTGTATGTGCTGGGTTTTTACCTTAGAATGGCCAACTCTGTTATTCCTGTCAATTTGATACAGTAGAGGCTTCCACACTTCCCATATTTATGTCCTCTGTCACTTTTATCAACAGTTAAAACTGTTTAATCCGTTGTTAACATGTTGTAACCTGTTTTTCCGAGCCGCCTATAAACGCAATATGAGTGCTACACGCTCGCGCTGGGTTTCCACCTGTGAAGGAGACCTGCTGCTGCTGGGCGGAGCTACAGGTGTGTTAGAATCACGGCAGCAAACCAGCAAAACGCAAAGAACTTTTCACAGTTTTTCCCTCCAAACTAACCGACTGAGTTGAGTAAAGCTGTTGGATGCAGGTAATGTTAGCTAAAAGATGACTAGCTAATATCAATACAGAACCTTAAGCTTAACAAGCTTAACAAGTACCTTGTAGGCTACCGATGTTGGTGTCTATTTTCAGCTACGTACATTCATTTTGCCCCAAAAAGAAGTCGATGCCCCCCCCCCTCCCCCCCCCGTTAATCCATAGGGGGTGGGGGGCGCAGAAAATATTTGGAAACCGCTGGGGGGGCACAGAAAAAAAAGTTTGGGAACCACTGGTGTTAATGAACAGCAACAATTGACCAATTTCACCAGTTTTTAGCAGTTCCAGTCTGGACCAAAATCCTGTTGATATTGGAGAACCAGGTTTCATTGACTTGTTCAAAAACTCCAGCTAAAGTGGAAACTTCATATTAAAATTTCTAAATTGATCATTTCCCTACTGCTTATTGATTTTCAACAAGTTGTACAACAATATTTTGTCCTCTTATTATTATTATTTTTAAAAACTTATCTTTATTTTTTCCTAAAGCATTGAAAACTGTGTGGTTGCCGTTCTTAGAATCATTATTGAATTTGAATATCTTTTTTTTTGAGGCAATTGTAGCATATCTGTGTAAACAGTATACTATATTTCTAAATAACTGGAAATAGATCATGACCAACAAGGTCATCAATGGGCTAGTTCTCAGAAGTCAACATACGACTCATAAAGGAGTAGACCAGAGTTCCCCAAACTACGGCCCGCGGGCCGGATCCGGCCCGCCTCCACATTTGGTCCGGCCCCCTGAACAATGCCAGAGAGCATTCAGATTTTTTTTTTTTCATATATTGTATTTTCCGGTTTATATGTGGATTTTTCTTCAACCACCAGGGGGCTCTTTAGCACGAAGTGTGTCCTGTAAATTGTGGGTGTTTTGTTTTGCATGGCGCATTGCTGCCATCTGTTGCACTTTTAGGGAACTGCTTGACTTTTATGTTATTTAATCAGTACGGTTGTTTCCTAGCAGTAGAGCAGATGAACACACGTGTCTGTTATGAACGCCGCATTCCAGGTCGAGTTCTTCGAAGCGATGCCTGTAAGTAGCAGCTTATACTTCAAAATGAGCCTTTATGTTAACATATGAGAAATTAATATGTTAAAGTTATTTTCCTTCAATGGAATATATACCAGTCAGTCCCAGTGACCGTTTCAGTCACGGTTTTTGCCCATGTGCTTTCTGGGTAAAAAACAATCGAGAAACGCCCCTCCCCCCCCGGCCAATAATTTCCGGCAGCGCAGGTGATAAACGTCAAACTTCTTCTGTTACAAACTGACTCCGGCCCCCCACCAGAGAAGGGAAAAGTTATGTGGCCCTCACAGGAAAAAGTTTGGGGACCACTGGAGTAGACCACTGGAGTTTGCAGATGTGAGTGTCTTGTATTCTCAGTGAATAATTATGTACATATATACATTACAATAAGAAAGGGAAAGAAAAACATTCAAATGGCCATATTAAATAAAAAAAACAAACAAAGAAAACAATTAAACAAAAGAAACATAATTAGCTCCGTAGCCACACCATTCAGTTTATAAACCCCCCGAACTGGGGTGGTTCAACAGGGTCAGGTGAGTTGGTTAGAGCGCTTGCTGCAATTCCTAGGCTGACAAAAGTCAGATCAGAGTGGAAACAGTTTTCTTCATGGGCTGCAGGAAGTCTCCCACCAGCCTGGTGGGGAAACCACATCTTTTGACACCACAGGTGAAATCCTTTTAGGCTCTTGGACCTGATTCTTCAGCTCGCCATCGAACCTGGCCTGTATATTAAAGCAGGACCAGTCTCAAATATATATAATCAAAACATTCCAGTGTGCACACAAAAAAAAAACAACAATTGGCACTCATTGCACTATGAATAATCCAATCATCATTTTGGTAATCAATGTATTTCCAAATGCAAAAATTCAAGATAAATCTTATTCATAAAAAGTCAATAAATATTCTCCATACAAAATCAATCGACACCAAAAATGTAAAAATCATTAAGCTAGGCAAATACTTTTTAAAATAAATAAGTATTTAAGGCACCTCATTGTTCTCCAATTTGTTCAGTCACAATAGAGCATCCGGATTGATAACATAAAATGACTCACCAATTCTGCAGTTCATAAGGCATACAATCGGTTTTGTGTTTCTCTTATCCCTCAGCTCACGACAGGAGACTTCTGCAGCTCTGCTCTCCCAAACACGCTCTGATCTTCCATACTTCTCGCTCCAGCTAATATACCTAGCTAATGGGCTGACGGTGGTACATGTGACTCAAACACTCAACAACGATTGGCTGCTTAGAAATTCTCGTGAGAAATGCAGTTATAGATCAACTATCGCGAGATTTTGAAAGACAAAGGGAATAAATAGTAGAGAACCAGAAAATGGAACTCAACATCTACACTCGGGTTACACAATACAGCAAATGAACTGAAACGCAATACAGCATTATTATCAGGACTCTGGGTTTTTGGGTTTGGTTTTGCTTTTTCATATTTATCACTATGTTTTTAGTTCACTTTTAGTTAGCCCTTCATGGTCATTTTCAGTTTTATTATTTGAGGTTATTTAGTGTGATTAGAATTGTCTTGTTGCTTTCCTTATTTCCTTATTTTCAGTCCTTCATAGTGTTTCTAATTACCTTAGGTTCTGTTATTCTTGTATGTCTGATTCTATATCGAGCTTTGTTTAGTGATAGTTTATTTTTTATTTAATCCTTGTGTGGTGATTTTAGTAATGTTTTTTCTTAGTTATTTCATCACCCTAGGTTCAGTTGTTCTTACATGTCTGAGTTTAGGTATACCTTTCTTTAGCATGCCTAAAGAAAGGTTATGTTGTTGTGCAACATCCCCTCGTCCCCTTCTCTCTCTACTTCTCCTGCTGAGAAGAGGGAGATGTGCTACCAGTTCTCTATCCAGGGGCGCTGCCAGGAATCTTGGGCCCCCTGAAAAAAAATTAATTGGGCCCCCTCCCCCCACGCAGCTGCTGTTACAGTTTTTTGAATCTATCTGACCCATCAAAAGTGTCACAATTTCAAAGGCTTGCAACTGCCTTGCTTTCTTTGGTCCAATACTGATAACAAGTACAA